GCTCGCTCAGTTGCCGCTCGTCGGTTGGTTTGTACGGCGCGTCGACGTCCAAGGTCGCGGTGAAATGAATTCCAACGAATCCACAAACACAATGATCGACGTCCCTTCGACCAGCGCCGCCCTTTCGCATACGTGTGTACGTGTTCACTCATTTAACACCCCCTCCTACAACCACGTTAACCAATTTAGCCATCGACCCAAGTAAGTCGCAATTTAACACCCCATTTCACAACCACGTTAACCAATTTAGCCATCGACCCAAGTAAGTCGCACTTTAACACCCCGTTAACCAATTATATGGTCCGCATCCTCCTCAGTGTTCCCCCGAGGGAAGCTGCGGGCAATTTTTTTTTCTTTTTACCTCGCGGCGTTTCTGCTGCCCGTTGTCGCAAGGATTTGGCGGCGCGCTCTTTTTTAGCGCTCGTTCTGTGACACCATTGCACCATTTTGGGAGCAAATGCGAAGGTGTAACCGCGCTTTAGCTGTAACTCGTCAAAGGAGAGCAACAGTTAATTTGCGCAAAAGAAAAATCAGGCTCGGTTTGCTTAACTAGGCTTTCGATGTGTGAGCATTTGCTTAGACGTACAATCGATGTGCAAGCATCACATTCGGGAACAAATTTCGGAAAATTTGCAGCAAACACACGGGATTCGAGCTCGTGGCCATTCGGTCAGTCAGCAGAAACAGGCTTGCGTAGGCACCGATGTGTCGTTTGCACACGGCGCGAACATTCTCGCAGTTACTCCGAAAAACGGGACGCTCTACTCCACAAGGAGGAAAAATGCACCTCCTTGCTGTGCCGTGTGCAATCGTTTGCGCACATTGCGTATTTTGGAGGAGCAAAAAGCTTTTTTTAGGGGTAACTGCGCAGTTCCTCCGGAAAACTTTTTAGAGTGCAGTATACCGGGTGAGAATTGCGCATGCGCGTGCCCGTGAAGGAGGGCCGCACTGCGAATAGTCAGTTGCCCTTTACTTTGAATCTATCGCACGACAGCAATGCACTCCGTAGAGCGTCAACTCCAAACAGATGTTTCTGTTCACTTTAGGGTCAGATTCGACAGCATGGCATTTGTGTCGATTCAACATTTCTTTTTTTCGCTAGCCATACTGAAATAGTCGATGCCTAAGGTTTGTAGCAAGTGGCGATGTCGCTTCCCGAAACTCGAACGACATAGATTGCGCGCTTCTTGTTTTTTTTATTTATCCTTCATAGATGGCGCCAGCTACGGCACAGACAATGGAAACACGAACTGCGAGTGCTAACGAGCGCATCGAGGCACTTTAGCGAGGGCCTCACAACAGCGCCTACAGATGGCGCCATCTTACAGCAAACGCTTGGCTTTTTGTGCCGTCACCAAGTAGCGATTCATCACGTGGTAGACAACGCGTGGTGCGCGCTCATTTACCAATGCGTACCAACCTCCAACCGTGCCAACTTCCAATCGTACCAACCTCCAATCGTACCAACCTCCAATCGTACCAACCCCCAATCGTACCAACCTCCAATCGTACCAACCTCCTACCATTGAACGTGTGTTGTTACATAGACAATAAATGGCGCGTGCAGACCTCCTCTCCGAGGGGGACAAAGGTTCGTTTCAGCGCCGCCTCTCTATATGCCAATGCATGGGACTGACCAGAGTCCTTCAATGCTTTGGCGGACTCTGGACTGACTTTACGCCCCTCCCCCACACCACGTTGCAGCACCCCTTATTTCCTATTGTGCCAACGTATGGGACTGAGTGTGTCCCTCCTTGGGTGACTAACGGCAGCCGTTCCCCCACCTTCCTTCTCGTGTGGACGCTATGTAGACAATGGTGGCTAATTAATTTGTGTGTAACCACTTATCTTTTTCAGGGGTGAAGTGCCCTAAGCCGTGAGTCGTGCGTCCCCGATGTATGTAGGTAGTAGTAGTAGTAGTAGTAGTAGTAGTAGGTAGCCACGTCAAGTTTAGTCCTTGGAATGTCCGCTGGATGGTGGTCCTTGTATATGATTGCGATATGGCGGTAATTGGAGTGTTCACTAGATGGACAGATGGATGGACAGACAGACATACGGACAGAAAGACAGATGAGGGCACGGATAGATGAACGGACAGACGGACGGATGGATTCACGTACAGATTAAAGCACGGACGGATGGACATATGCACGGACGAAAGTCCGGACGCACGGGTAGACGAACACACAGACGGACGGATGAACGCATGCGCTGACGAACTCACGGATGGATGCACGCACGCATGGACGGGCACACGGGCAGGCGGACGCATGAGCGAACTGACGAATGGACGGACAGACGAATGAGCGCATGGACGGACGCATGGATGGATAGAAGCAAGAACGAACGGACGAACGGAAGCACAGACGGACAGACGCATGGACTGACTGACGGGCGCTTCACCGCACTCATCATCATTCGCTCCGTGGATATGCTGTTATTTTTCATTCATTGAATTATTTATACGGCTTTCAGTATTTTTTGACTGAAAGCTTGCTGGGCAGAAAATTCGTAGCACGTATTTGAAGGGCTCCCTACCTGACCTTTGCTATACGTCGATGCAGTTTGGATAAAGGACGAAATTGAAATGTAATTTACTGTTTGCAGTACTTTTTATAGAGTAAGTTCCAAAGTAAAACTACCATGTGAAGCGGAATAACCGTGCAGTACAACCAGATTAAGTATGGAAGTTTTTCAGGATTGCTCAAAGTAGATGTGGTACGCAGTGCTTTGGCTTCATTGGCACAACCGTCTGCGGGAGATTTCGTGCGCAAAACAGGGCTTCGTGAAATGTGGGGCCCACGGGACGACTTTAAGCTTTCCCATGTTAGAGAACCAAGTACTCTAAATTGTTAACTAAGTACTTTTTAACAAACGCATTTGTAGACTATCTGAAACAGTTCATTGCTCTCCCATAGTACAGTACACCGTGCGCTAAAGCGTCGAACATTCGTTGTAAACATTCGTGGTGTGTGTGTTCAGTACGGGCCATGATTCGTTGTAAAGACACCGCTTCGAATTGTTTGTGACGTACTGTAGTCGAAATTAACTTTTTCTAAACACAATTTTTTTTTTCACTTTCGTTTTGAGTTGTCGAGGCCAGGGCGTCGTTTGATGCCGTAGATCACAAAGGGTGAGACCATGAATGCTAATTCTAGGCTAGCCGATATTACGGTACTCCTTCGCCATAGCGGAATACTAGACAGCTACTCCTTCACCACAGCGGAATACTAGACAGCTACAGCGGAATACTAGACCGCTACTTCTTCGCCATAGCGGACTAGACAGCTACTTCTTCGCCATAGCGGAATACTAGACATCTACTCCTTCACCATAGCGGAATACTAGACAGCTACTCTGCCATAGCGGAATACTAGACAGCTACTCCTTCGCCATAGCGGAATGCTAGACAGCTACTCCTTCGCCATAGCGGAATGCTAGACAGCTACTCCTTCACCATAGCGGAATACTAGACAGCTACTCCTTCGCCATAGCGGAATACTAGACAGCTTCTCCTTCGCCATAACGGAATACTGGACAGCTACTCCTTCGCCATAGCGGAATACTAGACAGCTACTCCTTCGCCATAGCGATATACTAGACAGCTACTCCTTCGCCATAGCGGAATACTAGACAGCTACTCCTTCGCCATAGCGGAATACTAGACAGCTACAGCGGAATACTAGACCGCTACTTCTTCGCCATAGAGGACTAGACAGCTACTCCTTCGCCATAGCGGAATACTAGACATCAACTCCTTCACCTTAGCGGAATAATAGACAGCTACTCCGCGATAGCAGAATACTAAACAGCTACTCTTCGCCATAGCAGAATACTAGACAAACAAAAGCGCTCTTTCACAGTGAAAGCTGTTATGAGTTCTCAACAAGGCCGCATGCGCCGTAATTTTCTGCCGCCGGCGCCACCGGTGTCCGTAACCAAGAGTGTTTTAAAAAAGGCTCCGAAAGTGTTTAAAAGGATATAAAAATGACTCTGAAAGGCCGATCTGTTTAGCTGTCACTGTGCAACGCGTTGCGCGCCGGTCGGCGTTTTTTTTTTTATACTCCACCCAAAACCATCAAAAACGTCGGGTTTCTGAATACGATTTTTGGTTGGAGTTTTCTAGTTGCCTCATTCGTAGCCCAACCAGGCAGACTTCTGCCGAATGTTGACTTTTTAATCACAGGAAAGGCCTATAAAAGTGTAGAGAGATCACCAATAGAAAAAAATGCACAACCCTGACGAAGAGGGGCATCACGGCCTCGCTGTTTCGACAGCTTTCACGAAGTGGCTGCATGTTTTTTGTTTTTTTTTACGAATGAACGTTCATGTATAAGGGCCAAACCTCATAAGCGCGAAAATGCACGCGACAGCGACGAGCGACGCTGTGAGCGACGAAACAGGGCGTTCGCGCGACGTGTCGCCTGCTCGTTTTCGCGCGATCGCTCGGTTCTCCAGATTTGGAAACCGTCGCTCATCGCCCGGAAGTGCTGGGCTCAAGCAGCCAATAACAAAATACCGGAAAATACAAAGACTACATAGGTGCACGTGACCCTGCCCGAGTCACGTATGCGCAACAAGAAATCACGCAATGTTTATTACGCATGTGCATATAAAAAAGTTCTGCAAGGCAATAATAAACACTTTCCGTTTCATTACACAACAATACATCTTATTTTTAAATTACATACCGCTCGCTACGCGGTTTTCTTGGTGCGAGTAGACGGCCTCATGCCAGCAACAGTGGAATTCGCTCGCCGAAGCCGTCGCGTGAATGAGGTTTGCCTGCGCTAGCGACTGATCGCGCGAAGCCAATCTACGTCGCGTCGCTTGTCGCTGTCGCGTGCATTTTCGCGCTTATGAGGTTTGGCCTTAAATGTAGGCTCTAAGCGTCAGCTGTTGGATGTCTCCAATGAAATGCGAGGTTGCCCAATGAACCTAACTCTGGGCTGCATCACACTATCATCAGGTTGGTGACATAGTTCTACAACGACCCTTACCATAAAACTTCTCCAACTCGGTGGTGTTTTCGAGGTGCTTGGGATAGCCCATGACGAGCCGCATGCTCCTGGCCTTCTTCAGGGTCACGTTCTGCACTGGAGGCACGATCCATGGCGTGTGGGTCATTTTGTACTGCAGGGCTTTGATCATGTTCAGCGCCAACGTCGTGGCGGCTTGGAAAACTCTCCGCGGAGTGTCTGCAAGAAGGTACGCGCCACAGCGCATTAGGCATTGAGAACGTCACAACCACCGAATATCGTAATCTGATCCAAACAGAAAAATAATATGGCGTAGCTTAGCGGCGCAATGCTGAGTCACAGCGGAGTTTTGACACTGGGGATTGATTCGTTATCACTCATTACCAGTTGGATATCGATTAGCTATTGATCAATACTGAATGCGGTTCCAGCATCTAGTGAGCTTAGGCATACATACTGCGTCATTTAGTATTTTTATTGGGTATCGACTGCTTCGCAGCAGCTTATGCGGGAGTTCAATCCGGTGTGCGGCGTGACCTGTTCTTGTTCTACCTGTTCTTCGTTCTTGGACCGCTGCGCATGCGCGACAGCTGACCCAAGCACGGCCTGAACGCGCTCACGCACGAGCGCGTTCGGGCCTGCATAAGGGGCTGTGTAAGGGACTGTGGCCTCTTCCCCTTCTACTGTATCTCAGTAGTCACGTGGTGACCGGGGCATCGCCAAGGGGTAGGCAGGCCGGGCCCGTGCCCCCCCCCCCCATGAAATTAGTTTTCACTATCGCATAGAGAGCAAATAAGTTACGCCATATCCACGAAGTGAATGATGATGAAGGAGCTTGCTCTATCTGTTCGTCCGCCTGTCTGTTCATTCACCTCAGTGGCGGCGCGCCATCTAGAACGTGGCATTCAAATCAACCCAGGGCACAGCTGCCCCTCTAGTAGAAGCGATGAGAACTAGCTTGGCTACAACGGCGGTGTGGGTGGACAAGATTCGAGTGTAAGGAGCAAGCTCCTTAAGAAGGTCAGTTCAAGGGGCACCCTCCCGATATAAAGGAGGAGCAAGTCTGCGAACGGCCATGACCTGTAGCATGCAATCCTATATACTCAACATGGCCGCTCAATTCTTCCCTACTTTTCCTTCATGCTACTTTTCCTTCATTCACCGACAGCAACATCTAAGTACGGCATTGTAAATGGGAGGAACGGTAAAGAAAGAAAAAAGAAGACAACCGCCCTTTTGTAGCACGAAGCCACAAGGAAGTCCGCACGGATTTCCCAGGGTAGTTGTCTTCTGTACATTTCTTAATGTTGCAGTACACATCGTCCACGTGCAATATAGATACGCCTTTACGTACACGTGCTCACGTAGCGGCTGGTGACGGCTGCGTCCAGTACACCCGAGACGGTCTTCATGCAGAAATCCTCGACGGGTGCCTCCTGAAGCCTCTTCATGGCGACGGCGCTGGTGTAGACCACCAGATTTCGCAGCACGGTCCACGCCAGCAGCAGACGCGTGTCCTCCCGGTTGAAGCGGGTGGTGTCCGTCAAGAACACCACAACGGACGTCGCGTTGTCCCACAGTACCACCTCATCACTGCCGACGTAGAAGTTGTTCGTGAACTTCTGGTACAGTCGAAACCATTCCGCTGCAGTGGGAGGCTTGCGGTTATCAACATAGTAATCACCCAAATTCGAAATATTTTTTAGGGTGGAAGGAGCCATGTGTCATGCGTCTTCTGTATGTAGTAGCCATTAGAGTTACTGTATATGCTCCCTCCGTTTTTCAGAGCGTGTTCAATTCGCCCTGAAAAACGGAGGAAGCGTCAAAGCAGTGAAGAGAAAACTTGGAATAGGCAAAAGTCGGATGTATGCACTAAGGGACAAAGAAGGCAAAATAACTACCACTATGGATAGGATAGTTAAAATAGCGGAGGAGTTTTACAGAGATCTGTACAGTAGCCGAGACAACCACGACCTTAATACTATAAGAACTAGCAGTAACCCAGATGATACCCCACCAGTAATGATAGAAGAAGTCAGAAAAGCTTTGGAGAGCAGCAAAGAGGCAAAGCTGCTGGTGAGGATCAGGTACCATCAGATCTGCTGAAAGATGGAGGACAGATTGTGTTAGAAAAACTAGCCACCCTGTTTACGAGGTGTCTCCTGACGGGAAGGGTGCCAGAGTCTTGGAAGAACGCTAACATCATCTTAATTCATAAGAAAGGAGATGACAAGGACTTGAAGAATTACAGGCCGATCAGCTTGCTCTCTGTAGTATACAAGCTATTTACAAAGGTAATTGCTAACAGAGTAAAGAAAACATTAGAATTCAATCAACCAAAGGAACAAGTAGGATTTCGAACAGGCTACTCAACAATTGACCACATTCATACTATCAATCAGGTAATAGAGAAATGCTCAGAGTATAACCAACCGCTATACATAGCCTTCATAGATTACGAGAAGGCGTTTGATTCAGTAGAAATATCAGCTGTCATGCAGAAACTGCGGAATCAGGGCGTAGATGAAGTATATATAAACATTCTGGAAGAAATCTACAGGGGATCAACTGCTACCATAGTGCTTCATAAAGAAAGCAACAGAATACCAATCAAGAAGGGCGTAAGGCAGGGGGGACACAATCTCCCCAATGCTATTTACCGCCTGCTTACAGGAGGTTTTCAGAAGCCTAGAATGGGAACAGTTAGGGATAAGAGTTAATGGAGAATACCTTAGTAACCTGCGCTTCGCCGATGACATTACATTGCTGAGTAACTCAGGGGACGAATTGCAACTCATGATTACGGAGTTAGACAAGGAGAGCAGAAAGGTGGGTCTTAAAATTAATCTGCAGAAAACGAAAGTAATGTACAACAACCTCGGAAGGAGTAATGTACAACAACCTCGGCGCTTCGAGATAGGTAATAGTGCACTTGAAGTTGTAAAAGACTATGTCTACTTAGGGCAGGTAATAACCGCAGGGACTAACCACGAGATTGAAGTAACTAGAAGAATAAGAATGGGGTGGAGTACATTCGGCAAGCACTCTCAAATTATGACAGGTAGATTGCCACTATCCCTCAAGGGGAAGGTATAGAACAGCTCTATCTTGTCGGTACTTAGCTACGGAGCAGAAACCTGGAGACTTACAAAGAGGGTTCAGCTTAAGTTGAGGACGACGCAGCGAGCAATGGAAAGAAAAATGGTAGGTGTAACCTTAAGAGACAAGAAGAGAGCAGAGTGGATTAGGGGACAAACGGGGGTTATGGATATCATAGTTGAAATAAAGAAGAGGAAATGGACATGGGCCGGGCATGTAGCGCGTAGACAGGATAATCGCTAGTCATTAAGGGTAACTAACTGGATTCCCAGAGAAGGCAAGTGGGTTAGGGGGAGACAGAAGGTTAGGTGGGCAGACGAGATTAAGAAGTTGGCGGGTATAAATTGGCAGCAGCAAGCACAGGACCGGGTTAACTGGCGGAACATGAGAGAGGCCTTTGTCCTGCAGTGGACGTAGTCAGGCTGATGATGATAATGATGATGATATGCTCCCTGGGTAGTAATTAGTATAACTCTAGAAGCCACCTTCCGTTTTAGTCCTTGGAATGTCCGCTAGATGGCTGTACTTTTGAACGATGAACACATGATTAAAAGATGCGAGATGGTGGTACTTGGAGTGTTCACTAGATAGACGGACGGACAGACATAGAGACAGGCGGACATGCGGACAGAAGGACCGACATAGAGACAGGCAGACATGCGGACGGACGGACAGACATAGACACAGACGGACATGCGGACGGACGGACGGACGGACATGCGGACGGACGGACGGACGGACGGACGGACAGACAGACAGACAGACAGACAGACAGACAGACAGATTCTAAATGAAAACAAGAGTGTCGTAGTTCTTGGGAATGCATTGAATATAGTTTAGATTCCCCGCCGCGGTGGTCCAGTGACTAAGGTACTCAGCTGCTGACCCGCAGGTCACGGGATCGAGTCCCGGCTGCCGCGGCTGCATTTTCAATGGAGGCGAGAATGATGTAGGCCCGTGTGCTCAGAATCGGGTGCACGTTAAAGAACCCCAGGAGGTCAAAATTTCCGGAGCCCTCCACTACGGCGTCTCTCATAATCATATGGTGGTTTTGGGACGTTAAGACCCAGCAGTTATGATAACTGTTAGTACAACTGTTTGTCTAACTGTTAGTAAATCACTGCACGATTAAATAGGTGCGATGTATAGAGTATAGGCGCACGCATCTTTTCAATCCCCTTCATCTTCCTGACATGTGAAGAAGCGTATTCATTAGTGCTTTCACAAACAAACGCATTTGTTGTATAGTTCAGCGCTCTTGATTGATTTATATGTGGAATTTAACGTGCCAAAACCACCATATGATTATGAGAGACGCCGTAGTGGAGGTCTCCGGAAATTTCGACCACCTGGGGTTCTTTAACGTGCACCAAAATCTGAGCACACGGGCCCACAACATTTCCGCCTCCATCGCAAATGCAGCCGCCGAAACCGGGATTCGGTCCCGCGACCTGCGGGTCAGCAGCCGAGTACCTTGGCCACTAGACCACCACGGCGGGGCTCAGCGCTCTTTGCTGTGTGTTTGTGTCTCCTCGTTTTTGCGCTGTCTCGCGAAGATGAAGTCGTACCGCCAAGATCGATCCCATACACTCTTAATGATAACTGTTATTGCTGTGTATTCCGTACCTTTGGTTACGTGAGGTTCCGTATACGTTCCAAGGTTGCTTATTTGTACGCTTTTGCCCGAGACCTTGTCATTAGCCCGTACGAGTTCCAGGAAGGCCCCGACTGGATGGAAGCAGAAAAACGAAAAAGTCTAACACGTCGAGCTCCCTGGAACTGCAAGTATAGGTTCAGTTTCACAGATTTCGGTAAGCCAATACGGCAGAAATGCGAAAAAAAAATGTCGCCGAGCCTGCGCAGAACATGGTGTACATGCAAAGCCAAAGCTGAAAGAGTATTTATTTTGATGTCTGCTGTATACTTTCTTAGAATATTAATGATAATGAACACGCATGGTACCGACTACACCATAAGTCATTTTTGTGAAATAGGGCAGCCCCCTCTACATGCCAATAATCGTGCTTATATGGAGAAGTGAGGTAACCGCTACGCAATATTGAGC